GCTGCTCATAACTGACAGAGCCAGACTAGAGGCCCCTCCCCCTCATGAGACTGTCACTCTTCTCCTTGAGTGGAGTGGCATGAGAAATGGTGACAGACCCCGGAGCATGGAGGGCGCCCTGAGGTTTCTAGGTGAGAAGGGTTTTTCTAAGTAAAGGGTTGTTACCTGGAAGGCCTGAGGTGCCAGCCCTCCATCCTCAAAACCAACTCTAAGCAGCCGGAAGTCTCTGCCATGAATCAGAACCTCCTCTGGAATGAACTTAAGCTGAGCCCCGGGACGGAGAAGCTGCACTCTTGACAAGCTGCTCACTGAAGTCAAGAGTGGAGTGGGGTAACCATGGGCTCTCTCTGGGAACATTTCCTCTAGTCCACCCTGCCCCACCCCTCAGCCTTCTGAGAACAAAAAGGTGGGGGCTCAAGTGCCCCTTTTACCAAACTCTCAGACTTACCAGCCTCTAATCGCCCAATGTTGATGAGGGCAAAATCATATTCACTACTCAGAGGAGTGTCCTAAAGGAAGCACAAGACTGATGCTACAGACATCTAACAGCCATCCTTGGTCTGCCTTGCTGCCTCCTCCCCTCCCCTGAAGAAGGTAGCTTCCCTAGAAATAATTCTACCATTACTGATACATTTACAAGACAAACAGGGTATTGCTATGTAGCCTAGTCCAGCCTGGAATTCTCATGGTCTTCCCATCTCAACCCCCAACTGCTGGGAACACCATGCCCAGCTCCAGTCTTTTTTATTACACTAACCACCTCACCTGACTTCGTTGCCATCCACAAGGCTGGAAGGTTACTCTAAAGTTAGTGCAGATCAGAGTTCCTGGCAGTTCTAGTCCTGGCCCTTTCCTCCGTCCTGGTGCCCATGCTAGGATATGCTCCCCTAAAGGGAGAAAGAGAAGCAAAGTTCTAACTGTTCCCAATGCTGCCCACACGTTTACATGGTCACTGGTCCATTCTTCTAGAATGTAAACTTGAAGGAAATGAATACACATCTTTTTTTTTAACCTCTAGAATGTAGCACGTATACACTCACTGATCTTTGGATAGTTAATAAGGAAAGTGGAAAGCAGGGTGAGAAAGCAGAAGGAACAACGTCCAGGCCTTCCAGCAGGTCTGAAGAGGCAGGAGAATTGAGTCTCAGAAACACTTTGAGGAAAGGAATAGAGAGCTATCTTTGGTGAAAACAAAAAAGGAGGTAGAATGGCTTTCAAAGGAAACTAGAGAGCTCAGATGATTACCTGGGAGACAACCAGAGGCCAGGCAGCTGCCAAGTTGATGAGTGCTGGGCTCTGGCATCCTGGTCCTTGGGTCAGACTTCGGTCCAGAGAGCTGAGCAGGGGAGAGAGTTAATCTGGGACCTCCCAACCTCAGAATCTGGGATTTCTTCAGTAGCTGCCTTTTGGGACCCGCATGGAGTACTGAGTTTGAGTTCTCCCTCCTTCCCTCCCTCCCTCCCTCCCTCTCTCCCTCCCTCCCTCTCTCTCAGGGAAACTGAGAACAGTGACTGAGGCTGGCAGACAAGATAAGGAGGAGCTGGTTAATAGATAATGAGACAACTGGAGACTGAAAAAGGCAGAGCAGCTCCATGACAGTTGCTAAAACAGATACACCTTCCTCCTCTGGATCCTTTCCTTCTCGCTTAATTCCCACAGCATCCCACTCACACTCTCTTGCTAGCCGCCCTCCCATTCCTTCTCCTTACCCCCATCTCTGGCTTTTCCTGCTGGGGGGCAATGTTGAAACTCTGGCCCCGGCCCCCCCACCACATTTCCCTGGATCCATCCGGGAGTGGAGCAGCTAAGGGTGAGAGTCCTCAGAGATGCTCGCTCTTTCTGGGGAGAGGCTAAATCCTAGAGGTGGGGAGAAAAAGGCTCGGGAGAACCCAGGGGTAGCGGCTTTGGGATACCGGGAGCACAGTTCCGGGGGTCTTATTTGAAAGGTGTGTCCTGCTCAGACAGGGGAGGCTCTTTGGAAACTTCGGAGACTCGAAAGAGAACAGGCAAGATGCCCAGCCCCTTAAAGGAGAATACACACTTTTTTTTTTTTTTTAAGTAGAAAGGAAATGGAGGAGCTTAAGAATGATAGGAGGAATGGGAGAACTGGGGAATACCCAGATTTCTTTAACCCAAAACAAACCCACATTCTAGTCTCTTTCTGTTCGTGAATATTCGAGGGTGAGTCGAGAGGAACAGTAATATAATTAAAACATTTTGGGCTAGCTCTCTATACTCTTTCAATGAGAAATGAAACACTAGGAAACTCAGTTATTTTGTTTCGTTTATTTATGGGTTTTGTGATTTTGTTTTGATTTTCAGCCCCCTCTGACAACCTAACAGGGGTTGAGAAGAGGACCTGGACCTTGTGTCCTTTTCTGGAGAGCGCGACAGGCTGGGGGGTAGAATGGAGTGGGCGGAAGTTGGTGTGTCTGGGATGCAAACAGAGTACAGGTATTTTGGCGTGCAAATCTTGGCCCTCGGGCGGGGGCTAGAAAACCCAGGAAAAGATTGTACTATATATCTAAACCAGCCTTTGCACCCGGCAAGCGCACCTCCCTACTCCCGCAGCCACCTATTCGCCTGGAAAGCCCTGCCCCAGGTGCATGACTCCGCCCCTCCAACCCAGTCACCAGATCTCCTAATGAATGATTCATGATCTGGACTTTGAAAGCTAAGTACTGGAAACCACTTTTCAGTTCCAGGGTCACTTCTCCCCCTCCTTGCCTGCTGAATTCAAAAAGCAAAGATGGGGCTGTAGGGTACTAGAGGCGTGGAGCAGAGATGCTAGGGAGGGCAGCTTGAGGGTAGCATGTTTCAACACGGAGAAGACAGGAAATGAAATACAAAATAGGTGTTAATGAGCTGCTGTTTTATTGTTTTTGAGTCTGTACAGAGGCAGCAATCCTTAGGTGGGGGCCATGACATTCAACACTCCCTTCCTCAGAGCACACATCCTTCCAGCCTCAGCTTCCAAAGTTCCCTTTGTTGGCTGCAACTGTGGAAATAGTGAAGCTAGCATGAGCAGAGTCTGGAACAAACAGGTATATACTTGCTAGTAAGCGGGCCTAGAAGCCTGATTGTAGAAGTCCTAAAGGCTGCTGGCCACCACCACCCCACCACACACCTCAATGTATGTAATAAAGTATGTAATGTAATAAGGAACAGCTTAGGAATAGGTGTGCCCCCGAGGGTTTAAAATCCCATGACCTACTTTTTTTCTCCCCACCACTTTTCTTCAAAGAGCCTCGTTCTGTTCGTTAATATCTTGAGGTATGGGAACAGCAGAATACAGAGGGAACGGTCAGAACAGTGATCTTATCACCTAACCAGAAGCACAAAGGGGTCTCAGTGGAGGATTTCGGAACAGGAAGACTCTCACCACCTGCACCACAAACCCAGATGTCCACTGGATGGAAAGGAAATAGAGAGGCTAGGAGCTATATCAGATTTTTCCATTTTCAGACCCCCGCTCTGGTTACAGGTTTGTGCCAGGAGCAAGGGCTGCTGGGAGGGGTAGCTGGAGGAGGAAGGTGGAGCTGAATGACTCACAGGATGAATCACAGATCCAGTTATAAACACAGAAAGAGGCCAAGGTCCTTCTCACCCTCCTCCTTAGACAGCTTCCATCACTTCCGATACCCACAACCCACATAGCCAAGGGAAGGAGGGGGCATAGGAATTCTACATGGAAGCATGATACTATTTTGTTAAACAGCTTAAGCACAGGAGGCAATACACAATAACTTGTGACTGGGTATCCACAAAATATTCAGAGACGAGTGCCTGTATGACTCATTGAGCCTGCAGTTGACAGAGAGTGAGGAAAAGAAGAAAAATATTAACAATCCAGGGTACATGTGTTTCCAGACCAGAAAATGGCTTCTAATTCTGTCCTCTTGCCTATGGCTATGTGGCTGGGTACTGCCTCTTTGAAAAAGAGGACACAGTCCAGTCAGAAGTGTCTAAGTAACTCATAGACAATCATTACTCAAATGCTCCTTTATTGAAAGAAAAATAAAGTGCCCGGAACCTTGGACATGGGAGCGAAAGGAAGAACAGCAAGAGCCAGATCTCAGAGAGCCGGCTCTGTTCTCTGGGCTCAGGATCACCTCCTGGTATACAATATAAAGTCATGGCAATTTCTGCTTTATTGGTCTGTGGACTTTGGAAACCTATGGTGAGGGAAGGTACTTCTATTTTAAGGCACAGCATGGAGCTTAACGCCATCCCTCACTCTTAGAAATTGCATCTTAAAAACTAAAAAGATATAATTTATATCATTTACAAAATGCAGTATGAGGAAAATCGTTTTCAGTTCTCAATTAAGCCAGCACGAGCTCGGGGATTTGGAGGCCAGTCCTCTGGCGTACTTGCTGTAAGCTGGGACGGTAGAGGATGTAGGGTGGAGAGTGTAATCATGGTAAGTGGAAAGGAGAAAATAACCCTGAAGATCTCTCTCCATCAAAACTTTAGTGGGACCCCAGATGCCCCAGGTTAAAGAGAGTAATTGCACTTAAATATAAGCCTGAGAGATGAGGCCATACCTCATCTAGGGATCCACGGGTCTACCTCACTCCATCACACAAGGACCCTCCTAAATAAGGGAGGTTTTATTCACTTGGATGCTCTGCCCATGAACCCCCCTTCTCACCACAGTAATTGCATGGACTTGCTTATTTCAAACAAATCGATCTTTGTTTCCCAGACATTCCTTAACTCCACCCTACTCAACAATTCACCTTCCAAAAAACAGAATGAGAACCTCACCAGCCCATATTAAAAATAAATAAATCTGTTGTCTCAGAGTCCCTCATCTTTAAAATGGATTTGGGGGGGGGTGCCTTGATAGTCACCCTCTAAATTAAAACTAATTTAACAAAAAGTTAAAAGGTCTAATACCCATTTCCTTAGACCTCCCTTCCCTTTCCTTGGAACTTTTTCTTTGGAAAGGCAAGCAGAATTAAGGTTGGAAACCATATAAATAAAAACAAGCATGATACAAGGTTTCTGATTCTCTTCATTTGTCCTCAGTTTTTAAAAACAGGAGTGTTTAATACAATCTAATAACAGATCAAGTCCAAACACAGCAGTCCCATGGAGATGGAATTCCCTGGTTTTATTCTCCAGGAAACCCCTGCTGGGCTGTTCGCACTCCCACCCGCCCAGGCTGGCATCCGGTGTGCTGCGGGAGGATGCCAGCAGTGCACACAGGGTGTCTGCAGTCAGGAAGAGGGGCTCATGGTGAAGGTTTCACCTGTGTCATTCAAGCTTCAGAAACTGGGACAAGTCTAAGGTGATGATAGCAAGGCACGAGGCATTCATCCACCATTCACGGGGGGAAAAACTGAAGGAGTGCTTAAAACTCACCAGTCAAGATAAACGCTATCTTGATGCAGTATTTAAAAAAATAAAAATAAAAAAATGTAAAAACACCTTTATGAACCTATCACAACTTAGGTAGACAGGGTTTGTCCTCACACTTGTTCAATTGAGGGCTCTTGCTTCTATCACCTTAACACCATTCCTATTACATCCTAAGATTTTGATCTTTTGTTCAATCTGGGTTTTTAATGTATTTATATACTGAAATTAAAAAAAAATGTCTGGTATGATGTGATCCCAGCACTTGAAAAGTTTGAAGCAAGATCATACATTTAAGGCCAGCCTGGGCTACAGTATAGAATCCTTTCTAAACAAAACAAACCAAAAACAACCGTCATTTCCTAGTAGACCTTTAAATTCCGTTCCTACCAGAAATACTTGTCTCATACTAGGTTTCAGCCTGAAGAAAGCTGGGAGTGATAGCTCATGCCTAGATATCAGCACTCAGGAGACTGAGGCAGGAGGGTTGCTATGAATTGGAGGCTAACTTGGGTTATATAGCAAGTAAAGTACAGGCCGGCTAGCCAGGGCTACATAGCAAAGAAAAAACAAAAAATGGTCTAAAAATGATGGGAAATTATTAAATCAACAGACTGGCAGACTTGGAAGTGAGTGACTTCCAAACTTTTTGAGTGGGTGGGGGACAACTTCTTAAACTTAGAAATTCCATAAAGAAGTCTTGACTAGCTTTGTCACCAAAGAGAGGTGTGTGATCATTTTCCTGACTAGGCAGAAGAAACATGCAGAGGAGTCCCAACTCACACATATACACGCACACACACACATGCACATATAGCCATTTGTGACTTAAATCAAATGCAGGGATTACATTCCATTAGTGGGTGATGACATACCTCAGCAGAGAAATCGGAGCCCAGAAATAGCCCCAGGTAACACTCCCACCCCTTCTTCATTTGCATCCACAAGTGTATAGAATTGCATAGATGATTTTTCCCCAGGAAAAAAATAAGGAGAAAGGACAATTGGCGCAGGATAGTCTTCAGGTTTAAAGCTCTTAGAAACAGCTCTAGTCAGAGCATAAGCTGTCCAGACTTGTGCTTTGTGCAAATTGCAAGGGAGCTCTCACCGCTGGGTCCATCCCTACCCCTCTGGAGAACAGGGCTGGCTCAGGAAAAGGGAGAAATCCAAAGGCAGATGAGCTCACTGGGACTAATCTGTGGCCCGTGGTTACAATTCACTAAAATATACTTCTCTAGCTACCTTTGTAAGTGGCCCCAGCCCCCGTCCCATGCCTCAACACCAGTCCTAATATCAAAAATAATTCTTCTTACAAAGTATTTTTATTATTTTAATAAACTAACCACAGATTAAGGTCAGCTATGGCTTAACAAAAGAAGCCAGGATGTTAAGTTCATTCTCCAGAAGTCAACAGGAAGGAGAAAAAAAATCACTTAGATAGGAGAGTAAGTAATTTTTAAATTTTGTCAGGGTCATGTTCTTCTTTAAAAAATTAGTAAAATAGGTTGCTTTCTACAGAAGCACAGCAGCAGAGGATAGTGCTCTCTAGAGGTTTTTGGTATTGTTTCAAACAGTCTAGCCACACATCTGGCCTCCTCCAGCCCTTCTCAGGTGTGCTCAAACTCACACGGAGTTAGTGCTAAGTAGTTTAACATTACAGCACTTTGCACCCGTTCACCTGAAGAAACTCCCGCATACAAGTCCGCTTCTTACCACTCTTCTCTTTCCCAAAGGGAACTTGCTTTTAAAGAAAAAAAAAAAATCACAACATCTTAACTTAGTTGAGCTCAGTCCTTAAAAAAGATGAGGGAAAGATGGGGGAACAGGCAGTCTCCCCTAAAACTAGAACGGATGACAGATGAATATCCAGAAGAACATAAGACTCTCTAGGAAAGAATCCCCCTTCCCTATTTCCATTCACTGGGATTTAAACTACCCTTTCTGTGTAACCAGGCCAAGCACATACATTACTGCCTTGATCCTTCAGGAAGAATTTATCCATCCCTAGTATCTACCTAATTCAAACAAAATCAAATTTGTTCAGTATCTCAGATTCACTCTATACTCCCAACTACACCACCCTGTGCTTTTTTCCTAAAGTCAATGAACTTTGGTCTATTTTTTCCTTAATCGACTGAGAACTTTCCTTCCAGGTTCCTCCACGAAGGTGTCCACCCACCTCCCACCCACACGCACCTAGTATTTCCCTACTTTCCCTTGGGCCCTGGGATTGGGACACAAGAGGTGCTGCCTTGCAGTCTCAAGTCCACTGTGCACAGGAGCAGTACTACCCTCGGGGTAGTGCTAGCCCTGTCCTGCTCTTGCCAGTCTGCCAGCACTCCAGCTGCCACACATCTCTGCACTTGCCCCTGATGAGCCGGAGTTGAGCTTAACTTTCTTTGTTTAGCCCCTTTCCCCACTAAGGTTCTTGCCATTCAGAACCTGTGCGCCAGCAGTTCCCCCCCAGGTTCCCGTTCCCTCCGCCTCAGTTCTTCCCTGTAACAGCAAGAGCAGAAGTTGTTTGTCTCAGGGTGTCCATAGAAGCTGCAGTTCGGTTGTTTGCATTTGGTCTGGGTTGGGGGAAGTCCCCGGGGAGCTCCAGCCCATCCATCTGGCTCAGGGGGCTCTCTGTAGCCATTGCTATAGGAATCAGCCACACGGAACTGGGGTGGCAACAAAGCACCCCTGTGAACTCCGTCTTTGCCTGGCTCCAGAGATGGGATGCTGTCCTGGTGGGGATAGGGTCGCCCAGGAGGGTACTGTCTGGGAAAGGTGGCATATGATGGAAGGCCCCCTACACATGGACCCCCTGCCAACTGCCTCCGGGGTTCCTGGCAGTGGACTCCACCCCCAGAAGGTCGAGGAATAGTAAAGCCCCCAGGGTAACCAGTAGAGAAGGCCATTGCCTTGGACTCTGCTGAGTCACTGGGCTGGTCCTCCCCACCGTCCGGCTCTGGCTTTTTGGCTGGAGGAGGCCCACTAACTAACCCTCCATTCATCATCTTCCTCTCAGCCTCCTTCTGCTTCTGTTCTGCCAGGAATCTCTCCTCAGCATCTGCAAGGTAGCGCTGGATCATCTCTTCCTGATACTGGTGCCGGTGGCCCATCTTCAGGGTTCCAACAAAAATATATTTGCCCTCCCCTTGCATGGCGATCCTCATAATGCTCAGGCTGTGCATCACCTCCTGGCTATACTTGCTCCCTCCATTGCCAACAGACTCAGACGCAGGCTTCTCAGACGCAGGCCCATCCCCAGCCGCCTCCTCCTTGCCACCCTTCCAGCTCTTCAATGCGTTGTTCTTCTTCTTCTTCTCTAATGTCTCCGTACCACTGCTTATTCCAGACCCACTCCCCGGGGCTCCAGGCTTGGGGCCCTTGCTATGCATTAGGCCCCCCATGTTCTTCTTAAGCTTGCTGCCCAAGGTCTTGCCAAAGCTGCCCAGTTTGTTAGCCACGGAATCTGCTCTCTTCTTGTCCTTCTCCCGGTCGCGCTTTGACTTTTCCTTCCGCCTGCTGCCCTCATTGCTGATAGAACTGCTGCCAACCGACTCCTTGTCTGATTCCCCAGACTCAGGAGTGGACCTGGGCTCATCTCCAGCTGAGGCTGTTGGGGACTCAGGCTGGGCCAGAGGAGCCTAGATGAGAGAAGAGCATTGACAGTTACCTCCTGGGCTGCTGTCGGGATGCTCCCACAGACTCGGGACCTATCCTACAGCTTACAGAGCTACCTAGAGCCCTGCTATACGAGTTGGTAACATAAAAAAGGGTGGTATCCTGGCTAGTGTTTTTGTCACCTTGACATAAGTTAGTGTCATCTGGGATTCAACTGGCATGCCAGTTGCTGAGCTGCCTCTATCATACTGCCAAGTAGACCACTCTGTAGGACATTTTCTTGATTAGTGATTGATGTAGGAGGGCCCAGCCCATTGAGGGTGGGGCTTCTTCTGGGTAGGTGGTCCTGGGTTATATATGAAAGTGGGGAGAATAGGCTAGTAAGCAGCATTCCTCCACAGTCTCTGCTTCAGTTCCTGCCTCTGAGTTCCTGCCTTAGCCTCACTCAGTGATGGAGTATTATCAGAACATGGACACCAAACGAACCCTTTCCTCTCTAAGTTTCTTCTGGTCATGGTCTTTACCACAGCAGTAAGAAGCAAACCAGGACAGGTGGCATATGCACCATGAACTCCATCTGGGGAATGACTGTCTAGCTCCAGAGAAGGGTCACTGATATGATGAAAGTCACTCAAGAGGCACTGTCCTGCTCTGGCTTCAGCCTGCTGTCATGGGCCAAGTAACGATCCTTGTCTGATAGCAGACTCTCCCTCGCTCCCTGCAGCCCAAGCTCCTTCTGTAATGCAGAGATGCAGATCCACAAGGGAGCCTGAGCTTCACAGCATCACAGCACAGTGCACGGCTCTGCCTAAGCAGGGGCCTTTCATTTTCGTTCCTCTGTCTGTCTGTCTGTCTGTCTGTCTGTCTGTCTGTCTGTCTGTCTGAGACAGGGTCTTGGTACACAATCCAGGGTAGCTTCAAACTCACAATCCCCCCTACCTCAGTTTCCCAAAATACTGGGACTACAGATGTTTGCTACTTTGCCTGGCTGGAAAAATATTTTTGCAGATACCAGAATGTTCTTTATTACAAATCTATTTATGTCAAATTCTGTTCAGAATTCAACTCAAGGAACCCTTAAGTAACCACAAGCATCCAAGCCTGAGCACTGCTTTTATACACTCTATACTCTCTAACTTGTGGGATCCTGACTCCAGTGTCAAATAGAGCCAAATAATAGCAAATAAACAGCACAATGTGACTGGAGACGGGAGACGGGTGGGCATAAGGGGACAATTAGGAGGGAGGAGGGTGTGTTCTGACATCATCATACGCTGCACTGGAACAGATTCTCCTTGCTCTTGCCACTGCTGACAGTGAGGACACACAGGGGTTCTGGGTGGAGCAGTGCTCACTTGTGAATCAGAAGACAGTGGGATCCATTTCACATTCATATAGCTATGCAGCAGATGTAACTTCACCTCCAGAGACAGGATTATACTGCGAAAAGGAGAAAAAAAATGAAACAGCTGTTACGTCAAAGACAAGTAGTCATCTGGAAGGACTCAGCAGTGTCCCAGACCAGCCATCAAACAGCCGCCATTACTGCTGTCGTGACATCACTTAGCAAATTCTGACCATCGTGTGAGGACTACCTTTTGGTTTTCTTTTTGTTTTAAAGAAAGGGGCTCACTATGTTGTCTGTCATACCCTGAACTTGCAGTGATTCCCCTGCCTTGACCTCCTGGGAGCTAGGTGAGGTATGGGCCACCACGCCCAGCTGTAAGGACTTTAAGTACTAGATTTTAAAATCAAACCCTCTCAGCCAGCTCCTGAAGCTGCAAAGGCTCAAAGGGGGAAGCAATGAGGAGTGGGGCAGTGACAGGTGTTTACATCCACATCTCCCCAGGGAAGGGGGTACTAAACACACACACACACCCACACATGCACGCACATGCACACACACACACACAGGCAGGTTTGAGTGCCAGATGAGAGAGCATGTATTTTCCTTGCTATCTAAATGTCAGAAAGATGAAATTTAAAAGCAAACTATTTTGGTCACTTGTCTAAAAACTCCTCTGACTTTGGCTTAGAATCAAATAGGATCTGGTTGTCTTGCCTTTATAATCACCATTTTGGGGATTCTGAGATGTAGTAGGCAGGAACACTCACTCTGCTCTAAGAAAAGAAGGCCAGTGTCCTGATGACCAGCCTGCCTTCCATCTCTCCACCACTGAGCTAAGAAGAGTGTGGGTATGTGGCCCTGCATGTGGAGGAGATTTCCGCTACTGCACAGAGAAAGTATATGGAAAGGCAAAGCTGGCCTCACCTGGCCAATCGGACATTGTCATTATCATCTTTGCCCCACTCCCAGCCCTTTCCTGGGTCCACAGCAAAGTGCAGGGGCAGCAGCTTATGCTCTGAATCTGTGAGAGGGATCACAGCTGGGGAGGGAAAGACATGCTGTCAGAAAGTCTTCTGAGAAGGGAGAAGGCAAGTGAACAACACTGACATCCCCTATGACTAACTAGAGTCCGTCTATCTGCAACACTTGGAGTGAATCACGTTGAATGGCAGTGAGCTGCTTCTCCTTACTGCCCAGTATACAGTTTAGCCTACTAACCCCCTGACTCCCTGCCAGTGACCCAACCTACTCTCCACGGAGATAGGTGCAGCCTGTACCTAACACAGACCTTCAATGCTACAACAGTGGTGACAGAGACACTTTTTTTCATCAAACCATCCCCCTCTTTTTAAAGTCAAAAACCCTTGGTAATATTGTATAGCTTAGTTAAAAACAAAGCCTGGCGCCATCCGGCCTCCGTCTTCCTCAGTCATGTCCCCCCACTTAGCTATCATCCCCACTTCTGAATGAAAACCAGCCCCAGACACACGGGATGCGGCACCTTGTTCCTTGGCGCTGTCCTTCTGCTCCATCGACACAAGCGCGGAGAAGTGGGCCTGGTCATAGGCGAGCACCAGAGGGGATCGGTGACACTGGCTGGCGGGGACCTCCAATGGCAGATAGATCCCTCCAAATGGGATAGGGGCAAATGCTGTAGGAAACCATGAAGGGTATTATTACCAAGGTGAGATCCTTGCCTACTTCAGTCTCTCTACCCTACTTCTCTCTCTAAGATTTATTTTCATTATTCTAAATCATGTGTATTCGTGGGTGTCTGTGTGGGGGGTGCACGTGTGTGTGTGAATGCCAGGGCCCCTGGAGATGGAGTTGTAGACAGCTGTGAGCTGCCCAATGTGGGTGCTGTGGACTAAACTGGAGTCCTGCGAGAGCCAGGCCACTGCTCCAGCCCTTTAATCCCACTTTTCAACTGAGCATCTCATCCCAATCAATCCCAAGAGCTCTCGTTTGAATCTCTTGACAAGTGTCCACTGTTTTAACGTATTGCTCCCACCCCAAGACTCCACATACAAGAGGTTTGTGAGGCAGACTGACGATGAGCAGCTAACTCACCTTCCCCTCCAGAGTCCCGCAGCATGGTGTCTGCCACAACCACTATGGGCCTCTTGAGCACATGAGCAAGGACGAAGACATGGAATTCCTCTAGGCTCTCATATACCGGCTCCTCTGAACTCTCCACTCTACAGTGTAGGAGAGAGAATGGAGGAGGCACAGCAGAAGGGAGAAGGAGGAAACAAAATGAGTCCTGAGACCAGTTCCAAAGTGAAGGAAAAGAATGCCCCGCCCTGGTTTTCTAACCCTAAAGCTTCCACAGCAGATCACTCTGTGCTACATGGTTAGTGCTACTTCCGTTTCACTAGTACGGAAACCCAAAAAAAAGGTATAGGGGCTGAAATGATGCTGCAAATCTGAAAGTAAGGGGCTGGTGACATGGGAAAAGGTGCTTGCCACCATACCTAAGGACCTAAGCTCAATCTCTGGGATTCATACAGTAGACAGAAGGAAAGAACTGACTCCTTGGGTGATCCCTGTTCCCTTACCAAGTCACACTTACCCACCACCACTGGCTCCGTTGGTACCCAGATGCATTCTGGGTTCACTTGAGGCAAGTTTGATCAATTCATTCCATTCCTTCTGCCACTCATCTTCCGTATACACCAGTCCTGACTGTAAAAGAGGGCGACAGTGATGAAGGCAAAGGTAAGCAGAGGCTAGGTTCTAAAAGGCAATAACCATCCAAACGTTCCTAGTGTTACAGCCGCTCTCTATCCTCTTAGCACTTGCTTTACATTCGTACTGAATCAATTTTTTTCTTCTTTTCAGAATCAAGACCCATAAAATTGGTTGGTTGGTTTTGAGACAGGGTTTCACTGTGTATCCCTGGTGTCCTGGAACTCCCTAGGTAAACCAGGCTGGCCTGGAACTCTTAGAGACTGGCCTGCCTCTGCCTCTGGAGTCCTGGGATTAAAGGCATGTAATACTATGCCTCATTTTGTTTCTTTTTGAGATAGAATCTTAGGTATTGTAGACTGATACTGAATTAGCTATGTATGGAGGTTAGCCTTGTAATTCTGATCCTCCTGCATCTGTCTCCCAAATGCTGGGTTTACAGGCACAGGCCACCATGTTTAGCAATCTCACATTTCTTAATCTTCTGTTCCTTTTCACTCACTGTAATCTGACCCTATTCCGGTCTCTATGCCTCTGTCCTGTCCATACACGTCACCTGACTAAATCGACAGATCCAATGGACTCTGGTTCTTATCTTCACAACCTTTGTGTATCTCGTTTCCTCTTTAAGCTTTCTAATTTGGCTTCCACACCACTGCTTTCTCTTAGTCTCTGAACTCCCCTCCCCACAAAACTGTAGTTTTGGCAACTATTTGAATCTTGCTTTCCTCTGGGTGATATCTTCACAGGCTTCAATCGTATCAACTACATCTCTGTGTGCAGGACTCTAGAACTGACCCTCCCAGGCTCAAAATTCCTTTTAATTTCTAGTTCACATATCCAGCTGTTCACCATCACTTATCCACAGCGACTCTGAATTCTGTATTTTAATATTTAAAACTTAACTCCTGTCTCCTTACACACAACAACTATCACCCAAATACCCAGATCACCTAAATACTCAGACTAAAACCCAGGGAGTTACTAAGCTGTTTCTTCTCTCAGTCACCCCACACCTAGATGTCTCTGTCAACAATTACTAAGCATAAACTGCGAAGCATCTCCCTCTCTGATTTTACTGAACTCCTCAGATCCACTCGTATTGGGCTACTATAGTTTTTCCTAGTGATTAAAATCTAATGTCTTGTTTTCTGATAATAATAATTCTCAGAATCTTCACTGCACATGGCATACAAGGCCTACCTCCTCCCCTCTCCAACCCCCTTAAGTAGCTGCCCCGATGGGCAGTGCCTCATTCTCTGCTCCTTCATTCCTACTGCTTGCGATGACTACTTCCTATGCTCCTGGTAAACAATGCCTAATCTTTAACAGCAAACCCTCCTCTGAGGAGTCTTTCTAAATTCCCTAGCAGATCAGCCACTCCCTCCTCTGAACCCCTCTCTTTGAAAATGCTCTACATTACTCTATAGAGACCATATCTAAGCCAGGTGTAGTGACGCACATCTCAGCATGCAGGAGGTAGAAACAGACAGATCCCTATGGGTCCCAGGCCTACCATGGTTACCAAGAAACCACATCTGATCTATTTTGCTGTATGACTTTAGGGGTCTATTCTATTCTATTGCTCTATAAGAAAAAAAAAATCTATTTTATGCAACATGGCCCAGTGCCTATTATATGATCAATAATCAATAAATCCATGCTAAGTAATTATAATTTTTTTATTAAAGGATAGTGTACACCGATACAAATAATTTGCTTTGTCTTCTTGCACTTTGAGACAAGGTATCACTGGGTAAGCCAGTGGCGCAGCTGAGGTAGTAGAGTGCTTGTCGAGCATGCAGGAAGACCCGAGTTTGATCTGCAGCATCAGATAAACTGGGTGGGTGGTACACTCCAACAGTCATGGATAATTCTGGCACTCTGGTGGAGGCAGAAGTTTAAGGTCATCCTCACTACACAGTAAGTTGGAGGCCAGACTGGGCTAATTCAGGCCCTATACTGAGGGAGTAGGGAAGAGAAGGCCTTAGGATCTGATGATTTGAAAGACAAGTTTATATTATCAGTATTTTTTTGTTTAGCATAAAACTGAGTTCCATTACTCAAGTGCATTCTGACAAGAGTTTCTGCAATCACACTGAGCACACGACAGCAGCAGAACAAAGGCAATGGGGGTCAGTGCTACTGTGAGCATATTTTACTTTAATAAAAAGGCAAGGAAATTTGCAACTTGTAAACTGGTATCATAAATTTCAAGTAAAAATAAAAAGGACAATGCAAAGGCTATATATGAAATGCTCCTTGATAAACATAGCTAGGGGGACCTGCCTCTGACTCCTCCTCTGTGTCACCTACCCTGGTGGTACTTGTTCCTGTTTGTCTTATTCTGGTTTGAGTTTTCAAAGCAAGGTTTCTCTGTATAGCCCTGGCTGTCCTGGAACTCGCTCTGTAGACCAGGCTGAGATCTAGAACTCAGAAATCCACCTGCCTCTGCCTCCAGCATGCAAGGATTAAAAGCCTGTGCCACTACCACCTGGCTTTTTTTTTTTAAGGTTAATTTTATTTTATGCACGAGTATTTTGCCTGCATGTATGTGCACCACATGCTTGCTGGTGCCTGATGAGGTCAGAAGAGACCTCGGTTCCCCTGGAAGTGGAGTTCCAGCCAGCGGTGAGCTGTCAGAGCTCCTCTACAAACAAGGCTGAGCTCCTCTCCAGTTCCTCTGCCGCCTGTTGTAATACATGCAGCCACTAGGTGGCAGGCACTCTTAACAAGTTTTACTACCAATTTCAACACAAAACAAGGAAGTCCAGATTTAATTTGGGTTTTGTTATCAGAAAGCTAAAAGCTTCATCTCAGGTCATCACCTTTTTGTCTACTTCCTGCTCCCAAGTAAGGGATGAAGTTATCAAAGTTGAAGCAAGACAACCATGCATGGCACATTTCCAGGGTGAGGTTTGCATTATGTCAACCAAAGGGAGTAAACCAACTGCTCCTTCACTAGCCACTATTTTCTGTGCACCCCCAGAAGGAAGGGCAGAAAACACAGGAAAAAAACCTGGGCACTTCTGGCTCTCCTGGATAATGCTTTCATAATCTAAGCCTTGCTTTAATAGAACTAATGATCAGATTGAGCATACTTACTCTTATTTTTCTTTTGCTATCACTCCCACTAATAACCTCTATGCTCTGATGAAGTTTTTCCTTGTCCCTGGTGTGGTCAGAGCTGAGGTTTGGCTATAACTTACACTCAGCAAGAAGATAAAGCTGATTACTAATTTGGTTTAAATTTCAAACTCTAGGCCAGCTTGGATCTAGCTCAGGAAAAGCAGCTTTCTATAAGGGCCATTCCTGCTTTGGGAGATAAGAAAGAATGTCAGTTTGTAGCCGACTAAAGTGATGGTGGCAGTGGCACACGCCTTTAATCCTAGCACTCAGGAGGCAGAGGCAAGCGGATTTCTGAGTTCGAGGCCAGCCTGGTCTACAGAGTGAGTTCCAGGACAGCCAGGGCTACACAGAGAAACTCTGTCTCTAGAGGGAAAAAAAAGTATGTCAGCTTGTGCCTTTTCCCTGTGGATTCTATTTATGGAGCAAAAGTGGATGATCAAGGATGTGTGTGTATGATTTCTTTTTTCCAAAGATTTACTTTTTAATTACTTGTCTCCATCAGTCATGTAAGTGTGGGTGTCCACAAAGGCCAGAAGAAGGCATCACATCCTCTGGAGCTGAAGTTACAAGTGGTTGTGAGCCACCTGATGTGGGTGCTGAGAACCAAACTAAGAGAAACAAGTGTTCACAACCACTGAACATTTTCCCCAGCCAAAACAATGGGCTCTTTGTTTTAAGGAAACACATCACTGTGAGTGTGTGTGTTTGTGTGTGTGTGTGTATACACGTGTGTATGAAGGCCAGAAGTTGATCTCAAGTGTCTTCCTTGATTGATCTCTTTATTATGGAGACAGATCTTCTACTGAATTGCAGCTTGCCAAGGCCAGCAATCTGCCCCCTTGCCCTTGGGGTCCCATCTCCTGTCTCCTGAGTACTGAGATCACAGGCAGCTTCCAGCCTGTGTAGTTTTATTACAGACCCTGGGAATCTGAGCTTTGGTCCTCATGCTCATGTGGCAAGGAACCACTGTAGCTCCTGAGCCCCATAATGACAGAAAACTTTACGTTACATCTTTAGATGTAATAGTCCAAGTGACTGAAAAACAAAACTTTAGTTGTGTATTATCGCCAGTTATAATGGAACAATGAAAGATGGAGATGGAGGAGACACAGGAAAACCAAAAAAACCTCTGAAAATACATTCCTATATCCAATGTTAGAAATAATTAGTCAAAGCAGGCAAAAAAAAAAAAAAAAAAAAAACCTACAAAAATAACCTTAAGTCAGGGACTTAGGGCTCAACAGTTAAGAGCACTTGCTGTTCTTGGAGAAGATGAGGGCTCAGTTCCTAGCACCCACACCGCTCAGCTCACAACTGCCTGCAATTCTAGTTCCAGGAGGTCTGACACCTTCTTCTGTCATCCAAAGGCATTTCCATGCACAAACACATACATACATAATATAAAAAAACAAAACCAAACCAGTTACACATGAAAACAACGCATACAGATATGGAAGATAGACGACAACCACACAGAGTGGGCGGGGGAGGAAGAGAGAGAGAGAATGTGAAGAACTAAGGAAACAGAGAAGTCTACTTATGTAAACACAAAATGTCACTTTTATAGGAATGGGTTAACTTCTATAGAGAACCAGATGACAAACATAGCACCAGGCTCAGTGGCCATAGGTCACTCTACATTCTGTGCTTGAACAGAAAAAGCAGCTACATCCATATCCCAACAGGCAAGGCTGCCTTCCAGTGAGACTTTTAAAACCCAAACTAAGAAAACAGTTGTAGTTCTCCCAGTTCCTGGTGTAGAGATGGTACATAAAACTCCATCACTACTTTCTTATATAAATGTAATCACAATACCCGCCAAATCCCTGAACAGTAATATTTAGATTCAATTTAAGAAGTATCCTTTTACATTTTTTGCCAAAACTAAAGCAAAGTTGCAGACTATAAAAACATTCAAGCATTTTCATAGTTAAAATCATGGGTGGTAAGGAGTTAAAGGTGCTAGCCACCAAGCCTGAAAATCTGTTCTACCTCCACGTCTCACACAGCGGAAGCAAACCGACTCATTCAAGTTGTCTTCTCACTTCCACATATGTGGCATATGTGTGGCACGTCATGCATGCATGCACACATACATGAAATAAATGAATACTACATAAACAAATGATATTTTAGAGAATTAAAAACAGCTAGAAATTATGATTTAACCATATAATCCCAACAATTGGGAAACTGAGGCAGAACTATTGCAAATTCAATGCCAGCTTGGACTGTGTAGTGAGTTCCAGGCTAGCCTGGGTTACAGAGTAAGGGGAAAGGAGGGGGAGAGGAGGAGAAGAAGGGTGAGAAAGGAAGTAGAAGAGAGGGGAGATGGTCTCAGAATTAATCAGGCAGGTGAGATAGCTCAGCAGATAAATGCACTTGCCACCAAGCTCAGTAATCTGAATTTTGATCCTTGGAACCTACACAGTAGAAGGAGAGAACTCACACAAGGTGTCTTCTGACCTTCACACACACACTGCAGTGATGCATACACACACACACACACACACATACACACACCGCACCCAACAAATGAGTGACTAAATAATCTAGCCTTATACTAAAAACAAGCTACACAAATCCTATGAACTTATCTGAGCTCATTAAAAATTAAAACCAGCCGGGCAGTGGTGGCGCACACCTGTAATCCCAGCACTTGGGAGGCAGAGGCAGGTGGATTTCTGAGTTCAAGGCCAGCCTGGTCTACAGAGTGAGTTCCAGTACAGCCAGGGCTACACAGAGAAACCCTGTCTCGAAAAAACAACAACA